AGACAGAGTCTGTTAAAAATAAAGAGTGAAATTAATTTTCAGTTTGGTGTGGACTTTGTCTTCGCTATTTGATTCATTCATTCTTCATAACAGTGATAGAGTTGATACCTCTTTCGGTGGTTACTGAGTGAGAGGTTGGGTATTGTTCAAACCGATCCCAAGTCTACTGGGTTTGATCAAGGCTACTAAGGACCTCCTTGATTTAGGACAACGGAGTAAACAACAGCATCACCATTTATCATCCAATATGAGCAATTGCACCCACAAACTCAGTTTCTCCACTATATTGCTTTAAAAAAAAAACAAGAAAAAAACAAGAGGTCCAATAACTTTTTGAACAATTGTTTTCTACTTTTCTTCTTTAATGAAGGCCAATTTTGTGATGTGCATTTGTCCTAATGATGTCTAAGTGAGCAGGTTTTTTTTCTAACCTCTCCATAGTTGAAATGGACCTCTTGGCTGGTTCTCTGATTAATGTTCTCCCTGCCTAACCTGTCACTTAAGATGGACAGCCATGTCTTCGTATGCTTGGAGTTGAATCATTCGCTTTGAGATTCTATGAACCTGAGATATCTTGAACAATTTAACTCCTTTTACCTTGTCTGATATATGGAATGACAAACTGCAGTTTGTAGTCGTTTGTTGGAAAATAGAAAATAAAACCTTAATAAAGAGGTATGAGTAGTTAACAAGATGATATGTTCTCCGTAAAGTTTTCATTTCCCCTCTGATCCCAGTTGATCCCTCTTGTCTTTTTTATGGCTCACCCTGCTGTGTTCCTTCCCTGCCATCCTCATATGGTCCCCACCGATCTCATCCTCCACCTCTGTGTCCTCTAACCACTTGACACCTTTTCAGATTCATCCCCATCAGTTGGCAGACAGCGTGCGTTTCACCCACAGGGCACAAAGCAGCGATCCTCGTGAATCAATGGCAAATAAATCAATGCTATCTCTTTTTTCCATGCCTCTGTTGCCATCGATTTCCCCACCCTCTCTCTCTGTTGCTTTGCTGCTTGTGGAGTCCTGAACTTTGCTCAATTAAACTGAGTTCACTTTCAGGAATAAACTGTAACAGCATAAGGCTTTCAGCTCTTATACAGACACTAATGTTCATGGCTGGAGCTTTTATTTATGAGATGCTCTGTTCAAAGAGATGCAGTGATTTTCTTTTTTTTTGCTGAGGCTGAACCTAAATTTCCTGATACCTTGAACTCTCTTTTTTTAATGAGGCTGCAATGCTTTCGTTAATTGAGACTTTTCATTTTCAGCCAGAGCTAATGTCTAAAGCTGAGACAAAGTGAAGATCCTTTGATCATATTTACAGAGATAGAAGTAGTTTCAATTAGTATGTAAATGAGACTTTTTGTTTTAGTAAAACAGTCATGGGTCTCCTGGCGAGACAAAAAATATCTAAATAAGATTTTTATTTCCAATCTTCAGGCTCTAAAGTCTGTCTTTGGGAAGGATTTCTGGGAAATGCAGAAACCCACACATATTATTCTAAGGACTACATTTAATATAGCCCACAGAAAATTATCCACTGTGATATTTCACTAGTCTCTCCCATAAATAATTCAGTGTTTTTATGTGCCCTCATGCTGCCTTGGGGATTGGAACAGCTGAGTGTTTTCACAGCTTATTTGAGTCCAATCTTCTGCGTATTGGGCGTGCTCTAATCAAACCACAGCAAACATGCTTTGAATGTTTGTTGAGTCATCTGCTTATCAGCTAATCAAACGGCCTATTTAACGTGCGTCGCTGCCTCGGCGGCGCATGGCACAGCTATGCTTTAGAATTTTTCAATTACTTGTTCATCTGTTTGATCGACTCTGCAGCCATGCAGTGCAGGTGATGTAGTTGATCTCCATAGTCTTTAAAGCATGATGTGCAGGAAGAGTAATTTCAGAAAATACATTTAGGGATCGACTGAGCCAGGTGATCGATGGTTTGGGAAATTTTCCCTCTCTTAAAAGCAGATTTGTACAATTTCTCTTCTGGGTCCAAGACCTCATAAAAGACTCATGTGTGCACAGAGCATGTGGGTGTTTCTTTTTGTGAAAGAACCAGGAGGAAAGTGCAAGTCATAGAGAAAACTCAAAGGCAGGAGCCAGGACACCGACATGAAGCTGCCAGGGATTGGTGAGCAATCAGATAGGGCAGAATTGATGACCTGGCTCAGGATGGATTTCTTGGAGCGCACTGCCAGACCGAGGTAATACTTTCAGGCTCTTATCAGCACTGGCATAAGCTGAGTGCTGCATCACCCACTTCCCAGAGTCAGCTTATTATGAGAGTCCATGATGTGTGATTGCTTGTACTGGCTTTGTGAGTCCCAGGGTCTGTGTGCAAAGGCCACAGTCACCAGGAGGAAGAACAACAAGGAGTCACGGTCAAGGTGCACTGCTCACTTTGCAGGCTTTTTGGTTCCTTATATAGTAGTATACAGAAACATTCATTCCTGCAGAATGTTTTCACATTTTGCCACATTACAATTAAAAATTTCAACTATTTCGTTTAGATAATATGTAAGAGACTACAACACAGCTTTACATAATTGTGAAGAGAAAGGTTGATACATTTTTAATATATAATATCTAAAAAGTTGGCACAAATACACTTTCAGGGTGCTTTACTCTCAATTGCTGTCAAGGTAAAATATATGTTTTATAATATATATCTTAATAACAGTCCACACGTGTGAAATTCAATCTTAGTATGGATATAACTGTTCCATGATGAACTGGTTTGTTGGAGAAGGTATGTGGATAACGATCAGCACTGTATGAGGTACCACAGGTTATGGCACAATTGCAAACCTACAAAATATATGTGAAACATCCTAAACTGGCAGCAGGACAATGAGCAATGACAGGGAAAATGTAGCTAACAAGCTCATGATAAGGAACCACAGAGGTTTTGCAGCTTGGAGACTGAGGGAGGACACACAGAACCACTTAGAAGAAAGTTTCTGTTCAAATGGCACAAAAATGCAACATTTTGTCTGACATGCGTGCTCAAAAATGAAAAATAAAAATCAATAAATAATAAACACGCTGCACCTTGTTGTTCAGTGTTGAACGGATTTCAGATGGAGCCAGGAAATCCTGAAGAGAAAGGCTGAAAAAGATTTTAGGCTGGGATGGAGGTTTGCCTTCCGACATGACAGCAAGCCTAAACATGCAGCCAGATGATGTGGATTTGGTTAAAGCATATTAATACATTAGACTGATCTAGCCAAATTCAAATCTAACTTGCAACAAAAGTAGAATATTTATTAATATTAAAATAAACTCTGCATTAAAATTAATGATTTCAAGATCAATTTTTGAATCTGGTAAAGATGCGCCCCAAAAGGAAGCAAAACTATTGAAAAGCATATTATATTTATCTTTATCCATTATGGTTTGCAGGAAATTGGTCTTGAGTTATAAAAAGAAAAGACAATAGTCATAAAACAGAAACAGTGAATCTAAAATGACACACATTACGGATCATAGATGTAGTAGTTTAGATGTATCCTTGGACGCACACTGACTCAAAAAAAAAATCTGTTTTGATACTTGGGTGATTGTATTTTCTGGTTTCTTTTATGTCCATTTTCTTAATTTGCCTGTTGCTTATGCTGTGATTGTTTCCATTTTAGCTCATTCTTTTGTCTTTTGGATTTCTCTGTTTAGCATTTGTGTGCTTACTATTCTCCTTCCCTCAGCTCCCTCTGCCTTCATCAGTCTCAGCTGTTCTAAATCTTCACCTGATTGCTCACATTTGTCCTCCCATACCTTCTCTATCTTTCTCTCTGTGTATAAGCTCTCCGGTGGCAGTCCTTAGTCCATTAATCCATTCTTCCATCAATCTTGCTTTTGCTAGTGCTGCATTTCCTGTTCTCCGTGTACCATACCACCTGTAGCTTATTTTCCTGTTTTGTTTTCAATTAACTCTGTTGATTGTAATCTCCACTTACCGTAGGTAATTTTGCATCACTGTCAAGCATATCCTCACCTTTAAAAGCACACACAAAAACTGCAGGCATAGCTGTTGGGTGATTAGGTTACTTCAATGCAAAAAGGAAATAAGTCTCATGTGAAGAAAGGTGACCATAATTCGGCCACCATCATGTTTTAATATCAGCAAGATGTTCTTTAAGTTCATATCTCAAAAATCCTTTGCAAATGTCTTAACATAAATGTGAATGTTTTATCAAAGTATATTCTTTAGCAGCATTTTAATGGGAGATTCTGGAAAAGCAAACACAACTTAAAAAAAAATGTGACACTTTTGGCCTTTATTTAAAAGTGAGCTAAAAGTAAGGTTGGGACATGAAGCAAAGGTCAACAGTTCGGGACTCAAACCAGGAACGGCTGCATCCAGGGCAAAGATCTCTGTAAATTGGTCATGTGAGATACCAGCTTATTTGAAAAAGATTGAACAACACAGCTTGATCTAGAAATATGGAAATGCAACTGATTGTTTTTATACATAGAAATGAACCAGAACTTGTTGAAAAGTCCTGCAAATTCTTCTGTGTTGCTGTGAGCAGTTTTTCTGACCGGTTTCTGTTTTGCCTTTTCATCAGTTCTTTAGAGCCATCTGGATGATGCCATGTCACTTTTAGCTAATATTTTCTTAAATGACTGATAACCATTTTCAGTGTGCAATTATGTATATATAATTCTGTGGATTTTATGTAAATGTTATATTTCTTACAAATGTGATAATTCAACCTCTTTGCAAATTGTGGCTTTCAGGTGTCAAGTATTGAAGTATTCCTTACTGTCATATTTTGAATGTGTGACTCTGAATAGGCGCAAAAACAGAGACAGTTGGTATGAGAAAAACTTTATTGAAAAAATGGAAATTAACAAGATTGGATTTCAGCTGATTGGGGGTCTGGTGAGCTCTGCTGGGAAAGATAGGGAGGATGTTGAAAAAACTGAGCTTTGGGATTTGTGAGAATATGGTTTGGATGGTGAACTCACTGAGGTGGCAGCTTGGGCTTGGTCTTGGGGAAGAAGTGCTGTTCAGTGGTACGGGTTGTTGGTGCAGATCCATATTCTCTCTCTGTGTTGGTTTGTTGGAGGGTGGACAGGCAGGCGAGCGCAGACAGGAGGGCTGACAGATGGATCCGGGGTTCTTCTCTGGTGTGAGAACTTTCCAGGTGTCTCTCAGATTCTGATCCCAGGTGTGGGTTTCCAGGTCTTTAACTAGATGGCTTTCTGGAAGGAAATCACAAGGACGAGGTTACGATAAGGTCTCACAGAAAATAGCGTTTTCAAGGAATAGGTCTGTACCACGCTGAAGCGTAAACAAACTGACGCCCTCCTTCTTCTTCTTCTTATTGAGTTTTATTGGCGGTTGGCAAAAAACGTTAGGTGAGCATTACCGCCACCAACTGGTATGGAGTGTGGACTACATGGCAGAGAAAAAAAAAAAAAAAAAAAAAAAACTATATCCTATTATACAACCTAATCTGTTTCAAAAATTCAAATATAACCCGATATCCTCTGCTTCCTGATTCTTTCTGCAATAAATCTACAATGTCAAGTTTCATTTTCATGTCACTAAGTTTCCTTATTAACCTGTTTCTCTGTATCGAATATTTACTACAATTTAAAATGACATGTTCCACAGTCTCATCTTCCCCACAGTCACATTTCCCTGTCTGATGTTTCCCTATCAAAAATAACGATCTGTTCAATCCAGTGTGTCCTATTCTAAGTCGAGAAATAATAATCTCTTCTCTCCTGTTCCTTTCTGATCTTCTCATTGGTCCAATTCTCTTTTGTATTTTATAAAGCCACCTTCCTTTCTTTTCTTCATTCCATAACGTTTGCCACCTCTCTTTTGCTTTTTGTTTAATTATACCCTTTATTTCTGTTATACCAAAACTAACATTAATGTCTACCCTTCTGACGCCCTCCTACTGGTTTCAGCTCCTTATGAAAGCTGGTAATTAGTTCTGATGGAACACACCTGCCCATCCAGCCCTGCAAAGGAGAGAGAGAAAGAATACACAGACCGGCACCTAGACCACATGACACTTACATTTTTAAAACAAATGTTACTCGCTACTCTTGGCTTCGGTTTAATGTTTATAAATATTTATTTCACGTCTTGTGCGCCATCCAATGCAGATCATTGGCATGTCTATGCCATGCTACAATGTCGGATTCAGATAAAGATGTTGAAATGTCTGAAAGGTCGGACACAGACGAGAGTGTATCAGGAGATGGAGACAGAGACCAACAAGACCTCCCTCATCCTTGGCCCTATCTCAAAGAATTTTTCAAAATAGTCATAAAATTGAGCTTTCAATTCATATAGTGACATCTGCCTGTTTTACTTTATACTTTTATACTTTAAATAGTTTTTGGAGCACATGCTTTTTCACTTTTACTTGAGTAAAGAGGTAAAGTTGATACTTCAACTTCAACCTGTTTTTAAACTGCAGTATCTATACTTGGACTTAAGTAACAAATGTGTGTACTTTTGACACCACTGGTGGCTTTAGGTAAAGAATCCAAATTCTTATGGGGAATAGCCTGCATGGAAAACTGAACTTTGAAAATAAATATTGTATGAATTTAACCAGAACAAAAGCTTAAAGTGCGCCAACAAAGCCTTAGACACACAGATTCGTGCAACTTCTTTTATTTTCAACATTGTCTTTATTTAGATACAAGGTCAGAATAATGCTGAAAACATGTTCAAAGGATTAATCCCAGATAAAACTCTTAGAAACTCATCTAAAGTTAGACTTAAGATATCCTCTTATCTCAGTCCCCTTTCATCATGGTCTTATTTATATTTGTGTATATTGTATTTTTTATTAGACCAGCCGCACAGCGGGCCAGTCTTGCGATCCAAGATCTCAATCTCAAACCTGCCACTGCAATTTATATCAAATCATTCTCTTTTTTGTTATCTTCCGCGTATATAAACAACGTGGTTTCAGACGCTAAGACGCCGGATCATCTCTATGGTAACAGTCCTCAATTAGCGGTGATTGGCCAACCCGTGGGAATGTGTCTATTCCCTGAGCTCTGTGATTGGTCGGTGGGCGGTCTGAGCAGCCTGACAGTCTGCAGCGTTCCGGGTTATTGTCAGTCTCGGCGGCTCGGCAGAAGGGCAGGACCGCGTCCCCGGAGCTGCCTCCAGCAGCTAGCTCTTTATTCAGTCGGAGCACTTTCTACATTTGGTTTAAACACCAAAGAAAGGCTGAATATATATATTTTTTTTTTCTCACCGAGGTTTTCTCCAGGATCGCATTTGGAAACCTGCGTCTGAATCCGGAGGAAAAGCATCTGAGAGAGAAGGCAGCCGACCCCCTCGGAGAAAGTGACGGACGGAGCAGAGCCTGGTCGCAGGGATTTTCTCATCAGTTAGGATATTTCAGGCTGCTGATTTGGCCCTGCCTGGATTGCTTTCAGGGTATATCGACACAAAAAGCCCAAATAATATCCCCAAACATTTACGTTTTTACTTTACATAAAATTGCTCTTACGAAGGAGACGGATTTCTAGGATTCTGCACGAAAGAGTCCAGTTTATTTATTTTTTATTTTATCCTCTGGAAGTATACCTATAATTAAAGCCCAGAAAAGATCTAACGGTTCCCCTCACCTTTCTTTCAAAGGCTAATCGCTAAAAAAGAGGTGCGCTTCTTGGTGCGCAATCCTCCCGTTGAGACTCCACCGACCTGCGCTCTGAGCGTCCACTGAGCAGATAAACGAGAGAAAATAGAGGCGAATCTTATTAACTTTGCGTGCTCAAGGAGAAAGAGTGGAATCTGTCATTACTGCATACCCCCGGAAGTCTGGGATAAACTTGATCAGCATTGAATATTTGCAGCAGCTTGGATATCTGGAGGAAGCGGAATGAATCCTTTTTAATTTGGCCCAAAGAAGAATGAGGCAGATTGCTTAGAAATTGCATGGAGCTCTAGTCTGCAATCAGGAACACTTTATGGTAGGTATATAATTTTTTGCAGTTTCTTTCTTTTTAAATGTGTTTTTATTTCCCCTTGCTCCGGGATTATCCTTAAAGCAACGCATCGGATTTAAAGCCTTTGTTTTCTTGCGTAGATAATAAACGCCAGGTTGTTAGAGAGCGACGAATAGCTTTAGGAACTGCTTTGATGTTGTAATAGCGGGCCTTTTTTTAAGTATGGGTAGCAATTAAGCGCGGTGTGGAGGGGCAGTGCGCCGCAGGCACCGGTGGCGCACAGAGACAGATTGCGGCTCGGAGCAAAAGGTGCGAATTTTTCATCTGTGTGGACGCCTCCGTGCGTCACTGCTGTAGAGCTGGGTGAAATCAGACATCTTTCATTTCTATTATATCTCATGTGACTGGGTTTGATCGTGAAACGGACCCAGATCTGTGTGTAAAACTTTTCCCCCAATGCTCCGAGGTCTTGCAAAGAGAGAAAGTGTCCATTTCCACAGCTGCCTCCTCTGCACAGACTGGTTATTATAGGTGCATCAAAAATTCACACCTTCCCTGGAATATAAATACGAGTTAATAAAAGTCAGACTTTGAACTTTGAGCTTTGCCGGGATGCTGAGGTTGCTTTGCGATATTTAGCCTCATTGCTCACGCTGCAAAGAGACGAGCTTCCCATTATGCTGACTGTGCAGTTGAAGAAGAAGAGGGAGAGAAAAAAGCTGCAGCAAGTGTGTTTTATCATTAGACTGTACAAGCATCCTTCCAAATTGATCTTCCTCTCGCTGGCTCCTGTCATGCTCCCCCCCCCCCTCCCAGCAGCAGGGCCGGCCGGCGCCCCCACAGTCAGGGCACCTGCCATCCAGTCCTTCCTGCCTGTATTGAATAAAACATCCAGTGATGTATGAGACAGGAGCTGCACCCGGGGGGACAGAGCTGCCTCATTTACTTCCTCCACTCCGCGCCTATGACCTGCTGAGCAAATTGTACTCATATTAGCTCTGTGGCTGCTCCTCACCTAAACAAATAGTCTCCCAGCATAATGCTTGCCTTAACTCAACATGATGGTTGGACAAAAGCAAGGGGAGAAATGGAATGGGGAGCCTGGGTTCAATATGTGAGTCACTGAGTTACCTCTCTTCTCTAGAGTTTGGAGTTGGTTTTCTTTCTTTTGACTTCAATGCAAAAAATGGAAATCTAAAAGAGTCATTTTCTTAAAATAACTGCATTTTGTCTTGAATTGAGGAGGTAAGTGAGACACTTTGTCAATGGAACAAGACCATTTACATTTAAAATAAGAAGAAACGACTGCATTGTCTTATTACAAGTGCATATTATCTAATTATCTTATTTATGAGTAAAAATACTCATTCCATTGGCAAATCATCCCACTAACCTACTAAAATTAAGGGTAAATACTTTTTTACTTATTGTTAGATTATTTTTGCATTGTTATACTATTAGATCTTTTTTTGGACCTTCATCTTCCCAAGGCTTCCCTCCCTTTATAGCTAACTGTATTCACCTTATGAAAAGGTTCATATTTCTGGTAGTAGAAACTAAGGGCACGGTCAGGGTGTTTTTGGGGGGTGGGAGGGGACACTCTCCACCCTTACTTACATCATTTATTCCCCCAGTAAATGTTATACATACATTCTTCTTTTCGTTTCTTTACTTTTTTTTTTTTTTCAAGTTGTTGTCATTTAGGCTACGTTCACACCGCAGCCTGAAGTGACCCAATTCCGATTTTTTTGCCCATATGTGACCTGTATCTGATCTTTTTATGACAGTCTGAACGGCACAGATCGGATTTTTTCAAATGCGACCCAGGCCACTTGGATATGTGGTCCTGAATCCGATACGTATCTGATCTTTTCAAATGCGACCTGTGTCTGTACGGCCAGGTCGCATTCATCCGACCTACACGTCATTGATACTTGACAAATATTACTAAACGTTACTAATCTGCGTCCTACTAAGCGGAGGCGGGAAAAACTAACAACCATGGCGGAAGATAACACAGAGAGCAGTCAATGGAGAGAAAGTGAGGTTGCTGACTTAATTCATATTTAGAAAGCTCGATTCAGACCAAACTCGAAGGGTCTTACCGGAACCGGGGGAGGGTCTTTCTTTTTGATCTTCTTAAAAAGATTTCGTTCGTAATGTGCCTGCTCCTATTGGAGAAGAACTTAAAGAACGCAATATACGCTGCGGTATTACGAGTCATGTTTACTTCCGCAAACACTGAGGACGCTTGCTACGTGTGACGTCATCGCGTCCTCGAGTGCGCATGCGGGACACTTCGGTTGGACGCATTCAGTTCACACAGTAGATCACATACAAGTCGCATATACTTGGAAGTGTGAACGGACACGCAAAAAAATCCGATTTCACAAAAAAATCGGAATTGAGCATTAAGGCCTGCAGTGTGAACGTAGCCTTATACTGTAGGGGTTCTGATTCGTACCAGATATGGTTAATCTGTTACAGTAGGTTTGGTTCTCGGACCAGACATAGGTTTGCACCTATTAGGGGGTTGTTTTGTACTACTTTGACAACCAGTCATTTTACTTTATTGACCATACTCTACATACAATCCATATCAAATAATCTGGTTTTATGATTTCCAATAAATGTTGCTTTGAGTTAGCATATGTCCTAAGCAGGTAGGTCAGACAGCAAACATCCAGATAGTAATGGAAATGGTAACTAATATTTAATTTTCACAAATAGATCTGATCAGTTTTAATTACAGTGATAAGTTATTGAAATATTTAACTACAGTAAAAACGAGACATTGCTTAAGTAAATGGTGGGTTTACAGGTCAAACAGGGGGTCATACTCAAAATTTGCTCAAAATCATGATAATAATCAAACATAGAGACAAATTACATTTAACACAATTCCTTGCACAGTGATATCTAATTAAATTAATTATAGATGGACCACTTATATGACAGAGAGTTGTTCAAAGGTAAAGTCGAGGATTTTCTTTTTCCGGGTAGATCATCAAAATAAATGGTGCTCCTAAATGTCAAACATTCTGGTGATATGTGTACGTAAAGCCGTCCTATGTTCTCGTTCCCATTTTCACTTACCTGTGGTGTTTCAGTTAAACAGAGCCTGCACACGGAGAAATGGGCTTGTGCATGTTCTTGCACGCTTTTAATAGGCATTGCCGGATACAGGGTTGTGCATGTGCATTTTTTTTTTTTAAGTGGAGAGGGTGAGTCTGTTCAGAAATTCACAAAAATCCTCCACTATACCTTTAAGTATATAAATAATGCAAGAAATTGAACCAGGAATGGAATAAATACTACCATTTTACATAAAACAGGGTAGAAAGTTGAAAATTGGTAACTTGACCTAAAGCAAAATTTAGTTTATGCCTTGTGATGCTTTGATGTTATTGCCAAACCCCTTAAAAATTTCCGATGACACCTCTGGTTAAAACAAAAGCAATTTTTAGCGTACTTGTCTAAATTAATATGAGAACTATAACATTCCCCTTCTGAATTGTGAACACTTAAATTACTTCAATTAAGTCTAATCTGTTGTTCTCATGGAACTTACTAACAGCTGGAAGGTTGAGACGTATTTATTTTATGCAATGCATTAACAAAAAGCAATAAGCTAAGAGAACCCTGGCATTTTATCAATTCTCTCAACTCAAATTGCATATCGCCTTGATTGATTGATAGCTTTTGGGCTCCTTACCGTATTCTTTGCTTATTAAAAGTGCCTGCCTGATGGGAATAAGTGAGCTGCTCTCATGAATATTGTTAAAGTTGCTGAAGTTTAATTTCCTGTGCTGTGTATTAATCTTTTTTAATCCCTGCATGGTTTGATTGTCTCAACACCTTCCCAGAGGCAGTAAAACTCATTTTGGCACTTAAGATGTTTGAAATAGTTGATGCAGATGTAAGAGAGAGAGAGAGAGAGAGGGAGAAAATGTGTGTTTTTTAAGGCCTACCTTTTTTCTGGCCCAACACGTCAATTTTTGTGTAAACCGTTTCATTTGTGCACTTACGGTATGCTTCACATTTGAGCAGTTGTTTGCAGTGTTACCTCACAGCAAGTAGGTCCTGGGTTTGAATCCAGATCAGTCCATTCTCTTTTTTGGTTGCATGCAAGAAAGAAAACAAGCAGAGAAAACAAATGTATTTTATTTTACTTGTCAGATGTACTGGTAGAAATGTGTATTTTATTTGGGAAATATTATTTCTTCTCTGACTAACCACAACATGTGTTTGTTCTTATGCAAGCTGATTTCATAGAAAGCAGAATGTTTCCTTCCTGTAAAATATAAACGGACACTCAAAAGAACAAACAGTTTCTCACAAAGCAATGTCAACACTGTCTCATTAGCCACCTGATCAAAACGTTTCACATAAAAAGTCTACAGCAGTCTTTTTTTTTTTTATGTGCAGCCAAACAAAAGAGACATGCACTTTTTGTGCATTTCAATTTTGCTTGATGTGATACCCCTGAACATTAGTATCTGGGATGTGTCGACGGAGCATGAAAAGAGAAATCATGAAACAGAAACATTACATGTTGGTTCCCACTGAGAAGAAAAGACACCTTTGCAGAGTAAACATGACTGAACACAGGTAAAAATGATGTTCAGTCTCTAGATACGATCCATGAAACAGAATTAGATGAGCACAGTTCTGTTTGCATATTTGCTCTTCAGTTCAGAACTTCTCTGTGTGAGTATTTTAGTTCTAAATGACTGATCTTTACTCAGATATGCTGCTTTCATTTATCGAAAATATCTTCTGGTCCTGAATTTAGCTACAGGTTACAGAGGGATGTTTCAGGTTTCTCATGCAGCATGAAACACTGAAACAAATTTTGCTTAAGGCTTTTTTGCAGGTTTCAGTGTTTTATCAGCGATGTTTAATGAAGACCAACACAATTCTACCACAATATTAGGTAAATATCATAATTATTTAAAAAGGTTGAAGGCTAATGCTCAATCTAATGCTCTTTCCTTTTCATCCCACAACTTTAAAACATCATAGGGACTCAAACACAATATAGCTTTCTTGTTTTAGAAATCAATCCCTTGGCATTAAGATTTAAATATTCATATCAGTTTTTTTTGTACATTAGATAATCACACAGTATGATTTGATTGCATGTACTCCTGCTGACTTGGTCTTTTTTTCAATCACAAATGCAGACGTATTGGCTACTTGGCTACTTTATTGGCTCTGCTTTTCCGGCCTGTCACTTGATGTTTCACAGACATGTCTTGTAAGGTTTGCAGTGGGCCATATTGTTTCCATTTACAGATGATGGATTGAACAATGCTCTGTCAGATTTTCAAAACTTGGGATAATATTTTATAAACGCACCCTACTTTAAATGTCAGTAAACTTTGCCTATGACTTTCCTTCACCCATATTATCTCTAATGTTGTGCCCATCGGGTCTCTGATTTGCTGTTGTTTCAAGCGCTGTTCAGGGATGACCTGACCAAAACTCTACTCACAAGACAATTGTCTAATCCTCAAGGTTATCTGCAGTCAGTTAGGACCTGATGGACTGCAGCATTCCTCCTCCTCGCATGAGTGGAAGTAACATCTCTCCATGCTCCGAGGTTAATATATAGTCCTTTATTTGAAAAGGTTACAGCCAGCTTGTCCATTTTCCTTCCTTGAAGTTGCTCTCACAGATATGAAATACAACAGTAACCGTGAAGGTGTTTTTTATGTGTTTAATGAGTGCACTAGCATGAGCGCCTTGCAGTTTACAGTTTGTTCCATAACTCAGCCTGAAAAAGTGAGGCTGTGCTAGCTTCTTCCAAAGACTTTGTTGGGGGAAGAGAGAATAAAGCAAATCTGACAAGCTCTCCAACAGCGAATTTGCTCCCCTTAAAAACAATGCCGCTCTTGCCTTCCTCATGGTCACATTGATTTGTTCTGGGTGACAATGCAGGCTGCTGTGAAATCACCCCAGCACCATTGATCTCAAGGAGAAGAGGAGGAGAGGGAATGAGAGGCTGGCGACAGAGCAACATGGGAAAAAATCCACAGCTTGCCCTCTTCAACCTTAACCAGTAATAAAATGAAGGTCTGGGCTGCAATCAGATCAGCCCCTGCTGTACTCCTCCAGCCGCTGCACTATGGTGGTAGTCTGTGCTTTGATTTGTTTTTTGGAGGCCCGCACATGCTGTTTGATTTGCTATTGTTGCTCGCCATGTTTCACATTATCAGCTGAACTCTTTATTGCTACTGTTTTCCATGCCAGAAGCGAGGCTGTTTTTATCTCACACAGGCCTCTGATTAATCTTCCCCCCTCTCTACTGGCGTACTTTAATCTTGAATGGGAGATATCTGATTCTCCTCGGCTATTGAGGAAGATCAAACTTTAATGGAACAAGGAACTGCACATCATGCTAATCTCCATCTCTCTGCATTTTGGTTGACTGCGCTCCCTTGGGCTTTGTAGCGTTCTGCAGAAGCAGGAAATATATCAGCCTGATAAGATGTTTTCTCCTCATGCTTTGGTAATTTATTCCCTGTCGACTTTGGCCACCATTTTACATCTCTGCTGCCTGATTACCTGGTTGAAGGACAGACATGTGTAAAAGAAAGGGAAGTGATGGACATTTACGCTTTAACTTTACTGTTTCTTTATCACAGTTATTAGCTTCATGGTGGTTTAAAAGCCATAATGTTTTTGCCATCAGTACTTGGCTTGGTCCATTGTCTTTTCTTGTGGATAAACTGGAGCTACCACAGCACCAACCCATTGCTGGATGCTCAGGCAAGAGAGGTGCTTTATCTGTAGGCCATGACATCAAGTCCAGATGTTTAAAACATTGAGTGCCATGATAAAGAAAAAAAAACTGTTGTTTTTTATCTGCATGATTTAAACAGAAAACAATATCTCAATAATGGCCTTTAAATTGACATTGGGTTAGCACAGGAATAACAAAGCTGTCTGTCATCCATCATAAGTCAGTCAATGTGCTCCATAGCTCTGTGCTCTTCCCTGTTCAAGCTTTATCCATAAATACGATTTCTGAAACACTATCGGACATATGGTGCGTTCCATTTACCCGGAAATTTTATTTTCAAAGTTTCCTGTCAGAAATCCAACAAGATCCTCCCCGAAGTCAATACCCTGACCTCAAAAAGTTTGGGATTTGCCAAACAGCCCCGAGCTTACCAACCAATATGGCCCCCTGACATCGAAAAAAAAAAGTGAACATTGCATGTATACACTATTCATTAACCCTTCTGTTTCTATCTCATTAAACCAGTGGAACATGTAGATCTTAACCATCTCTATTTGGCAGCATGAGAGCAGCATGAGACCATATAAAAAAAATCCCACTGCTTTTCTGACCACATTTAGGACATGTGCTTTTTACTTTATTTGGTGGCCTTAATAAATGAATGCTTCAAACTAGCTCCAGGATTTTAACTGCTGTTACTGTTTTGGGATTGGATGATTATGTTAAAAAAAGGGCATCTTCTAAACAACTTAATATTTTCATACTTTTTATCATTTTTTTTCCTTTGAGAGTCATCCATCCAGGTAGTAAATGAAGGCACCATTTGGTGAATCACAGACTGACACTGAGCAGTTACATCATCCAGACAAAAAATGTTTGTTCACTTATGAGAAAATGATTGTTCTTTTGAGTTGTGCACCAGCTGGTAACTCGTCAGAGACAATCATGACAACCGTCTAACTTTTGCAGAAGCCAATCTCTCAGCTCATGTCTGGTTTCACTTGTCTCTTCATCAATGTTTGCACAATAAGAGCTCCGTTAGCAACCACTAGCCCTTGTTTTGTTGAAAAGGTAGATTTCTTTAGCTGTGCAGAATTAGATTTTTTTTTTTTCGTTTCCTGCTGGGAGATGTGCAGAAAACTACTGAATTGAAATGTGAAACATTAATTTGTATTTCTCAGCATTTCAGACCTCCTGCAGGCACAGGCACCAACCCTTTCTGTAATTATTGACCAGCTCCATATTCAGCGCCTTAGGAAAAGACGCCTGCCGCATGGATGTATCAAGGTTCGATGCTTTTTATTACACCACAGGCTTTTTAGGAACCATGCACTGACCGTCGCCTTTTTTTCTCCGGTCCTCCATAATGCTGAGTAACAGGGCACATAATGCTGATCAGCATCAAACCGCAACGGGCATTTTGTTACAAATGGATAACGCTTATGGGGTGTCACACCTCCTGCCGACGGTTTGTGTCTGTGACAAAAACAGGCTATTACCCAATTCTGCGGCCAATGCTGTACGGTAATGAAATTTCCACTGACTGGAGAAAACAATGTTGTCTAGTCCAGAGCTGTAATTGCAGAAACCATCTCGCCATATATATAATTTTTTCCCCCCTCGCCCGATTTTGTTGTGAATGTGGGACGATTTAATAAAACTCTGGAGATTTTTATCATTTATTGCCAGGCCTGGCAGCTGCATGAGGGAAAGTAAGCCAAGGCATGCACAGATAAAACTCATTCTTTTAATGAATTTCAACCATGCTGGAGACCATTTACAAGAGAGCAGGCATATGACCCATAGGGATATATTTATATGTATGCATAAGGCTCCAGCAGGTCAGATAAATTGTTAATATAAAAGCACCAATTCCTCTTTCTAAATGGAAGAGTACCTTGGAATTTCCGTCATTTTCTCCTATGTTATTGTTTATATCGGGATAGGGTTGAAAATCCATGGGATATTAGGCCTCCAGGGCAAGGAGCTTCTGTGTGCCTGCTTCCACTCACACAAAAAAACATAGAAATGTTGACATGAGGACACGTATGAACACACACACACGTGCACACTTGCACACACACTCATAGCCCTGTTTTATTACCTCCTGCCTGCTGCTGGAATTGCTTTCCTCCCTCGAGTGAGCCAAGCAAAGCCGGCTTTATTGTGTTAACCTATTTGTGTGTCAAGAGCGATTGCAGCGTTCTTTATCTCTGTTTGTATTCGGACGGGGAGACGGCTGAAGGGAGCGAGGAAGAGGGAGAGAGAATGGCTGAGTAAGAAGGGAGGAGGCAGCAGAAGCTGCTTGCAGAGGCCAAGCGAGCCGCCAAAGTTTAGACGGATGGCCAGTCACCTCGTTCCACTCTGGAGGATAATGACTGGTTGCTTAGCAATGACCCACCCCCACCAACTTCCAGGCTCTCATCCATAGCAATCATCTTTTTTTCCAGCAAAAGATTTCATAAATAATTATAACACAGCAGCATGTTTTTTGTAGCAGGGGTTGATGGGAGTTTGAGCCGGAGATGTGGTACTTATCAACTCACT